CCCCTTCCATCCTGGAAGGACCAGCAATTAGTCCTCACAAGAATAGATAGCCATTCTAGTTGTGATAAATTGCCTCTTCTGCCTGCACAGCCACAGCCAACACCACTATTGGGGGCTTACTTATGAAGCACATGATGTTTAACCATGGAATCCCACATGACTTAGCATGTGAACAGATAATTCATTCTTCAGTGAATGAGGTACAGGGATGGGTCTATCCCAATGGAATCCATTGTTTGCATCACATATCAAATAGTCAGTAGCAACTACCCTCACACTGTGCTGCAACAGCCTACTGAAGACACAAAAAAATGCCAGCTCAGAAACAATACTCTGGAAGGAAAGAGTGCCATCCTTCACGGTACAGTGTGTATTTTAAATCAAAGACTGCTGCACAGTACTCTTTATCCATTACAAAGAACATATGGGACCAGGAACCAAGGAGCAGAAGTTGGGCGGCCCTACTTACCATCACTCTTAATGATCCACTAGTGGTTCTTCTGCTTGCCCCCCCGCAACTGTGTGTTCTCCAGCGTTGTAGGTCTTGGTCCACAGGGACTGCACTTTAGCCAGGGACACAGCATGAGTCCCACAGAACTGCAAGCTACAACTGCCATCAAGGCACTTCAGATATCTTGTGTCCAAGGACCAGACAGTGGAGAAGAGGAGTCGCTATTTTGGACGGAGTAGTTGACCCTGAGTAGAAAGGGGAGGTAAGGCTGCTAAGCCTCAGTAGGAGCATGGAGGGTGATATATGGAACCTAGGTGTTTCATTTGGGAGCCACGTGGAACTCCCTTGGGCAATGGTAACTGTGAACGGACTTGTGCAGCAATCTTGACCGAGAAAGTCTCAGACTCCTTGAGGATGAAGGTGCAAAAGTTTTCAAACAAACGATTTACACAGTCTCGTGTTTCCCCTTACCTTCTGCTCTGCCCATTTCCTTTTTTGTCTTTATACCTCCCACACACCATGACTGTCTCAAAATACCATGAGGCTTGCAAAAACAGTTCTCAGAAATACTGTTCTATTGGTTATAGGAACTCCAAACAAGAGGCAGGAAGACAGGACCAACTCCAAGCTACAAGTTTTGGCAAAAGGTGAAACTGCCCCTAAGTTAAAATACAGGATGGTTATTCAAATTCTTCCTATCTTATAAAAACCTTGACCCTGGTTCAGTTGTGTATTCACCTGGTTTTCGGGTATTCCCTGATCCACCTCAACTGAATGAAGCCTTTAACCTCTACTTGAGTCACATAAATCTTTGTTTTTGTTTTTGTTTTTATACTTTCGTGCCATTGCCTGAGAGAGGTTGGACAAACCCCCAACACTGCCTGTTTGGGTCAAGACCAGCATATATCAAAGAACCTAATTCCCTTGGCTGGGGAGGTAAGTCCTCCTCCTGTTCTCTGCATTTTTCATAGCATGGAGGTTGCAGGCCGTCATTGTTTTGTAGGTCAACCTCTTGTCAGACTGCTGTCAGTATTTCTCCTTCAGTTTTTTGGAGTTCTTTGGATGAGCAGAGAATTGGGCATTTTTCCTAAGGTAGAGCAGGTCCCTCCTTCTAGCTCAGACTTCTTTCACTAGAGGAAACTCCTGGTCTACCCAAACCCCTGGCCAGATTTGCTCTAGATATATGGTCTGCCACAAGGTCCTACTGCTATTAATTTCCTCTCAACGTGGCATGATTTCAGTAAGTACAATCTTGGGCTGCAGTGGCCTTTGATTTCGTGGGCATTGTCAAACTTGTGTATTGTGGTATCTTAGAAGAGAGCGTATTAGAATAGTTGTCACGCCATGGGCAGCTTACATCAGTTGCTACAAAGAAGCCAAGGAAAGAAATACTTTGAACAGATTCTAATCTTTTCAGGCCTCTTTTAAACAACTTCCACCTTCTTCCCCTGCCAAAGTCCTTGTCCCTTCTGTCTACCCCTGTTCTGGTCTCTCCTAACTCCACTCCATTCTCACCTCCCTCCTACCCTGATCCCTATCTTCCTATCAGCCCCTCTTGCTCTTCTTCCTCACCTTCTCCAGCTCCCTCTTATCGTGGTCCTGGAAATTCATCCCTTCTTGATATGACAAAGCTCTAGAAATAGGGAAAAAAATCTTTTGAAGGCTAACCCTGAGTGATTCTGCATTTCTGAAGCATCCAACCTTGTTGACTAGAGTGTAGTGAATCTGTCTCAAATGTCTAGCACCAGTTAGAAAGCACTTTTAAGGAAAACTCATATTAGTCCTTGACATGACACAGCCACCTTTCTAAAAATTATGGCCTATAACCTGAGATATCAAATGCTATTTAGAAACACTAAATAGACTAGCAGACCACATTCATCCTCAGGTTAAAACACTGAGTTTGCCATTTTGGAGGTAACAGGATAATGAAAGAGAAAAACCGCCCATGGCCAAATTTATGGTCCCCAAAATTAAACAGCTTGAGGGAAAAAAAGGTCCTTCACAAATGCAAAACAGATCAATAAGAATATGAGCACGTATTGGGAAAAGGGAAATAAAGAGAGAAAAAGGGTTACAGGGTCCACAGTTATCATACTTTGACAAATGGACTACTCAAATCAAAACAAAATGACCCCCCTTCCAGAAGACACACTCTAGTTTCAACACTGCCTTTGGACCAGCAAGAAATAACCAGTTAGTAAATGGTTATTTGGATCAGTTAGTAAATGGTTATTCAACCTCCTTGTGAGTAGATACCTGTGCCAAGTGCAAATGCAGCAACGCATGTTTGACAAGGGCATAGTAAATGGGGACTCAGGTTCTTCACAGATGAAGATCCAGATCACTCTACCAGATAAGCCATCTGGACAAGAAATGCTGGTCAAGAGAGCTCTGTACGAGATGGACAAATTACAACATCGTAGAGTGGCCATCCTATTGATCCTCTACTCATGCGTCTCTCCCCTCCCCTTTGGTAGCTACCCTCATCTGAAATACTGGACTCCATATTTTCAGAAAGAGATTTGATCTAAGACCTGAGGCATTTAAACAGCATGAATGTAACACTTATCGTCTATCAGACCCTGTTCTACTGCACTCTTTTTGAAACGGTCGTGTCCTGTTTCTACCTAAACTTTTCTCTCTGTCCATCTACCAGTAAGTTCCGTCCTGTACTTTATATACAGCCGTGCTTAGACAATTCCTGAGATTTTGACTGTGAATACTATGACATTAATAACTAGAGGCCTTAAGAAGTGATATATCAGTGATCAATGGCTCCTCATGTGATGGTTTTACAAGATACAATGCCAAGGCAGTATATTTGGAATACCCCAGGTGTAGCACAACCCAGGACAATAATGAGCATGATAGCGTTAGCATGTATTAAGTGCCTAAGATGTTCTGGGCTCTTCTTAGTTGCTTTCCATTGATGATTACAAAACTCTGGAAAAGTACATTTCGTCTGTCAATGTAACATGTAACTTTGAATCTCTGAAAGCCTAATACTTTGGTCAAGATCACATACTTACCAGGTGGTTGAACTACTGTTGACATTCACGTGCCTGTGACACCAAAGTTTTGTATCTTCCTACTGGATCTGTCAAGGTTTCTTCTTATGCTTATTTAACACGAGGAAAAACATGAACAAATCACAAAAATCTAGTACATAACCCATTGGGAAAAAGTCCAATGAACTGTTAAACAAGTGCATACCAATACAAAGAAGATTCGCTACAGGCATGCCTATAAAACATTAGAATCCACGTTTTAAATAAACACAGATCCTCTTGTTGGTGAATCCAAGAGTTCCCTCCATTATCTACAGGAATAGTAATACCATGACCAGACATGAAATGTTAAGTGGATTTAAACACACAGATCCATTTTTACCTGCCAAGTCATTTTATTTCAAGATGACAACCTCAGAATAGTTATAGGATTATGTGATTATCAGAGTGATTATTGACCATTTCTTCCAGCAAGGGCCAATGTGAGTTTTGCCATTTTGTGCATTCCAGTTAGTATGTACTTGGATTGAGGCTGTTAGCCTTCTTCAACACTTTCTTCCTCCATTCTCTTTTCTAGAGTTCCTTCTAATTTTGAACAGACACCACCAAGAATTGCAATCCCGAAAAGAGTGAAACGTATAAGCAGTAGAAATATTCCCTTGTTGAGAGAAAATATTATTTTGGTTTGAAGACGTAGTGTTTTGTCAGGTGGAGGGCCACTGTCTAGGCTACCACCTGGTCCTCTCTCCGCGCATGATGGTGGTTTCCAACCGTCCATACAGTGGCATTGTCTCCTGTTGTTGCACACCCCTTTGAAATTGCATGTCTGGATATCACAGTCAAAATTAATGTCTTGATAAAAAGTACAGTTCTGATTTAAACAATATCTTCCTGGCCCACATGTTGCACCATCCACTACAAGCCCAAATTCTGGCAGTTCTGTCCCATCGTGTGCATCGTAGCCAAAGCATTTTTCATTATCTGCTAGTATATGACGAAATGTAGTATGGTCACCTCCACCAGGAATCTGGCCAACTGCACTACAGTGTAGCATCCCACAAAAAACGTCATCACCTTCACATGTCACAGGTTTTCCTCCTCCTCGTGTCACCCTCACCCCACAGTTTCCAAATCGGTCACCAATTAGATTCAATTTTTCATAGCATATTGCTGCAGCATCTTTTATTTGGTGGCCAAAAAGGGCTTGACACTGCATATCACGGTCAGTACAGTTTCCACTCACACAAACAGCTAATGGTGAACATGGGGTTCCATCCTGGATATAAAGGTCATCTGGACAAACATGTGTTCTCCCGTTACAGTATTCTGGTAGATCACAAATACCAGGCGTGTCTCTGCAAACCTTTCCAGGCTGAGCATACCTACAGCCAATGCAGCAAGGTCCTATACTACAAACACTGCCGGTGCTGAGGGCACAATGGGTCTCACAACATTTATCGTCACTACAAGCTTTAAGGGAGCCACAGTCACATTCTTCATCCATATTTATGATCTTGTCACCACAACGAGGAGCTACATATGGAAAATTTGTGTATGGGTCATTTCGAATACTCCCACAAGGATCCCACATAGAAGCCCGATCATGCATTCTGCCATATGTACAATTGCTCATCATATCTAGAAGACCAGGCTCAGCAGACATGACACAGCTGGCTCTCCGAAAACAATGACAACCAGCTGTGTCATGATTAACACCAAATAAATGACATAGTGAATGCGCTGCAATAGATGAAGCTAAAAATATGTGATAATTTCCTACAAATGCGTATGCTACTCCCCAATTGGGGTTGCATATTCCATCTTGGAAAGCATAATGTGAGAGGTAATTGATTTTCCGTGCTGTAAGAATCAATGAACTATCATGAGGAAGTGAGGGATACCATCCATGCCATTTCCACAGCCCAAAACGATTTAAAGCTAACCAAGCAGTTGCCAAATTATATAAGTTCACCCTATCTGAATCATTCCATATGCATATAGCACGTACGTGAACACGGTAATGAGCTTGGTTGAAAATGGTATCCAATATGTTGTTTATAAGCACTACATTCTCTACTATACGTGTCTGGTTTGTATCTAGAACATATAGTGAGTTAGTAACCGTGTAGTGAAGTTTTAAGTATTTCCTATGTGGCCACCACAAATACACAGGGGCTGCTCTAGGAGTTTCAGCAAGTGTTGCCTCTTCATATGCGTGATCTTTATCTTCCTCCTCAATCGCACACCTTTCCACCTCTGACCTTTCTTCTGACACAAGCAGAGAAATCACATGCTCAAATTTGGAAGAAGACTCCAGTGGTTTGATCTCATAAGTGAAGTCATCCACCTGCAGCATGCCATGCAGACCCCCATAGCAGGTGTCCAGGGTGCCCATAGACCCAGGAACCCCTTCCAGGTAGCTGTAGTAGTAACAGTCCCGGGGGACATAAGGGTAGTCCTCCTGCATGGCACCTTGGTCGTCATCGGTGATAACAGGAAAATGTCTGGGCGGCAAGCTCTTCTTGACTTTCAGGTGAACCACATGTCTTTGGCCCCTGAAGTGAATCTTGTAGGAAAGCTGGCCTTGTATCTCAGCTCCACTTACCCTATGGGAGACCTTCCTGGGGATCACAACTTCAGAGGAAGTGAAGCGCCATCCTGGTCGGGCATGGGAGCAGCAGACCAGGGACAGGAACAGCCAGAGCAGAGGCAGCCAGAGATCGCCTGTCTTGTGGGCCTGGGCCCAGGAAGGCCCCATGAGTGAGGGAGCCTGTGACTCAAAAAACAGTGCAGTCAGGTGGGAGGCAGGCAAGACTATTCCTGAAACAGCAACTTCTCTAGGAGTGTAGTCATGAGGAGAGCAGAGACAGGCTGAAAGCTTGGCACCCTGGGGAGGTTGAGGAGGGAGGGGGGAGCTATGACATAACAATGTGTGTTTACTGAGGGAGGCTGTGCTCAGGCATCTGGGGATCCTAGCTCAGGGGACTTAGAGAAGGAAAGAAAATGGGAGGAATTAGGAGAAGTAGGGTGTATACCTGGGCTCAAAAGTGCCACGGACTCTTGGAGAAGTCACAGGGGAAGAATAAGTGGGTTTGTTGCAATTTTAAGACACTTATGACTTTTTTCCCCTCACACCTTAATAAGATAAGGGATCAACATTTAACTAAAATAGAGAATGGAGAGGAGAGTTAAAGCTTCTCTTTATAAGAATTTTGAGGAGAGACTTAGATTCATAAATGGTAAAACTTGAATGCTGTAGGGGGTGGTTGATGGAAAGAAAGAGTAAACAGAGGTCATGAGAAGACAAATTAGAGTGCATAATAGTAGTTTCTTATAAAGGGAAACTTATACCTACCGTATATCCCAGCAATTCTAGGCCTAGGAAACTACGCACAAACACTTGTATATGAATGTTCATAGCAGCGTCATTCATGAATTTATTCCACAACCTGAAACAAACCACCAGCAATCAGTACGTGAATGGATAAATAAACTGGTACATTCATCCAGTGGAATGAAACTCAGTAAATCTGAACAAATTTCTGACACATGTAAGAACGTGGATGTAAATCACAGAAACTAAGATATGATTTAATTTGTATGAAGGTCCATTATACTCCAAACTAATTCCTGGGAATAGAATTCATATCAGTAGTTCCTGAAGTGGGGGAATGGAGGAATAGAGGGAACTTTCTGGAGTGATGGGAAACTTCTGTATCTTTTTTGTTTTTGTTGAGCCAACATTGGGTTATAACATTATATAAGTTTCACATGTACAACATTATAATTTGACTTCTGTACACACTATGGCATGCTCAACGTCAAAATCTAGTTTCCATTAGTCACCGTACAATTGACCCCCTTTACCCATTTCACCTTCCTCCCATCCCCTTCTTCTTTGGTAATCACCAATCTGTTTTCTGTATCTATGTTTGTTTTTGTTTTTGTTTTGTTTGTTCATTTATTTTGTTATTTTCATATTCCACATATGAATGAAATCACACAGTATTTGTCTTCCTCCATGTGACTTATTTCACTTAGCATAATACCCTCTTCAACACTTGTTATTTCTTCTCTTTTTATTTTTATTCATTTTTAGTTTTTATTTTTTCCTGAGGAAGATTAGCCTTGAGCTAACTGCTGCCAATCCTCTTTTTGCTGAGGTAGGCTGGCCCTGAGCTAACATCCGGGCCCATCTTCCTCTACTTTATATGTGGGACTCCTGCCACGGCATGGCTTGCCAAGTGGTGTCATGTCCGTACGCGGGATCCCAACCGGCGAACTGCAGGCTGCTGAAGCCAAACGTGCGCGCTTAACCGCTGCGCCATCGGGCAGGCCCCTCTTCTCTTTTTAAAAAATATTTTAATTTAGTAATTTTTTATCGAGGTAACATTGGTTTGTAACATTATGTAAGTTTCAGGTGTACTTGATTATATTTTAATTTCTGTCTAGACTCAATCATGTTCACCACTCAAAGACTAATTTCCATCTGTCACCATACACATCTGCCCTATCTCCTCTTTCACCCTCCTCCCTCCCTGCTTCCCCTCTGGTAACCACGGATCTAGTTCCTATATCTATGTGTTGGTTTGTTGCTGTTGTCTTTATTTGCCACTTAGGAGTGAAATCATATGGTACTTGACTTTCTCAATCTGACTTATTTCGCTTACCTTAATACGCTCAAGGTCCATCCATGTTGTCGCAAATACCAAGATTTCATTGTTTTTAATAAGTGAGTAGTATTCCATTGTATATAAATATATAGAGAGAGAGGCCACATCTTCTTTATCCGTTCATCTGTTGATGGGCACTTAGGCTGTTTCCAAGTCTTGACTATTGTGAATAATGCTGCCATGAACATAGGGGTGCAAATATCCTTTAGCATTATTGTTTTTGTGTTCTTTGGGTAAATCCCCAGGAGTGGAAGAGCTGGATCATATAGTAGTTCTATTCTTAATCTTTTGAGGAATGACTATACTATTTTCCTTAGAGGCTCCACCAGTTTACAGCAGTGTATGAGGGTTCCCTTTTCTCCACATCCTCTCCAACACTTGTCATTTCTTGTCTTTGTAATAATCGGCATTCTGAGAGGAATGAGGTGATATCTCATTGTGGTTTTGATTGGCATTTCCCTAATAATTAGTGATGTTGGACATCTTTTCATGTGTCTGTTGGCCATCCGTATATCTTCTCTGGAAAAATGCCTGTTCATATCCTCTTCCCATTTTTAATTGGGCATTTTGTTTTTTGTTGTTGTTGTTGCTCAGTTGTATGAGTTCTTTATATATTTTGGATACTAACCCTTTATTAGATCAATGATTTGCAAATATCTTCTCTCAATTGTTAGGTTTGTCTTTTGTTGATGGTTTCCTTTGCTGTGCAGAAGCCTTTTAGTTTGACACATTCCCATCTCTTTATTTTTTCTTTTGTTTCCCTTGCCTGAGGAGACATGGTATTCAAAAAGACAGTGCTAAGACCAATGTCAAAGAGTACACTGACTCTGTTTGCTTCTAGGGGTTTTATGCTTTCAGGTCATACATTTGCATCTTTAATCCATTTTGAGTTAATTTTTGTGCACGGTGCAGGATAATGATCCAGTTTCATTCTTTTGCATGTGGCCATCCAGTTTTCCCAACACCATTTACTGAAGAGTGTTTCCTTTCTCCATCATGTGCTTTAGGCTCCTTTGTCAGAAAATTAGCCGTCCATGGATGTGTAATTTATTTCTGGGCTCTCACTTCTGTTCCATTGATCTGTGTGTCTGTTTTTGTGCCAGGACTGTGCTGTTTTGATTACTATATCTTTGTAGTATGTTTTGAAGTCAGGGAGTGTGATACTTCCAGGTTTGTTCTTCTTTCTCAGGGTTGCTTTGGATATTTGGGGTCTTTTGTTGTTCCACACAAATTTTATGTATATGATTCCTTGTCCTATTTCTGTGAAAAATGTCATTGGGATTTTGATAGGGATTGAAATGAATCTGTAGATTGCTTTAGGATGTATGGACATTTAAACTACATTATTTCTTCCAGTCCATTAGCATGGAATATCTTTCCATTCCTTTGTGTTTTCTTTGATTTCTTCCAACAGTGTTTTGTAGTTTTCAGTGTACATGTCTTTTACTTCCTTGGTTAACTTTATTCCTAGGTATTTTATTCTTTTTGTTGCTATTGTAAATAGGATTGTATTCTTAACTTTTTTTCTGCTATTTCATTGTTAATGTGAAGAAGTGCAACTGATTGTTGTATGTTGATTTTGTACCCTGCAACTCTACTGTATTTGTTTATTATTTCTAACAGTTTTTTTGTGGAATTTTTAGGCTTTTATATAGATAAAGTCATGTCATCTGCAAATAATTACACTTTCACTTCTTCTTTTCCAATTTGAATCCATTTTATTTCTTTTTCTTGCCTGATTGCTCTGGCTATGGCTCCCAATACCATGGTAAATAAGAGTGGTGAGAGTGGGTATCTTTGTCTGGTTACTGTTCTTAGAGAAATAACTTTCAGTTTTTCTCCATTGAGTATGATGTAGGCTGTGGGTTTGTCATATACGGCCTTTATTATGTTGATGTACTTTCGTTCTATACCCATTTTATTAAGAATTTTTAAATCATAAACAGATGCGGTATCTTGTCAAATGTTTTCTCTGCATCTATTGAGATGATCATGTGATTTTTTTTCTTCACTTTGTTAATGTGGTGTATTTCGTTGATTGATTTGTGGTTGTTGACCCATCCCTGCATCCCTGGAATAAAACGCACTTGATCATGATGTATGATCTTTTTAATGTATTGTTGTATTCAATTTGCTAGTTTTTTTTTTTTTTGAGGAAGATTGGCCCTGAGCTAACTACTGCCAGTCTTCCTCCTTTTTGCTGAGGAAGCCTGGCCCTGAGATAACATATGTTCCCATCTTCCTCCACTTTATATGTGGGACGCCTACCACAGCATGGCGTGCCAAGCAGTGCCATGTCCACACCCGGGATCCGAACTGGCAAAACCTGGGCCACAGAGAAGCAGAACATGAAAACTTAACTGCTGTGCCACCAGGCCAGCCCCAGTTTGCTAGTATTCTGTTGAGGATTTTTGCATCAGTGTTCATCAGTGATATTGTCCTGTAATTTTCTTTTTTTGTGTTGTCCTTGTCTGGTTGTGGTATTAGGATAACGTTGGCTTTGTAGAATGATTTAGGAAGCCTCCTCTCCTCTTCAAGTTTTTGAGAGTTTGAGAAGGGTAAGTATTAAGTCTTCTTTGAAGATTTGGTAGAATTCACCAGGGAAGCCATCTGGTCCTGGACTTTTACTTTTTGGACAGTTTTTGATTACTGTTTCGATCTCCTTGCTGGTGATCGGTCTATTCACATTTCTACTTCTTCTTGGTCCAGTTTTGGAAGGTTGTATGTCTCTAAGAATTTATCCATTTCTTCTAGATTATCCAATTTGTTGTCATATACCTTTTCATAGTATTCTCTTATAATCTTTTGTATTTCTGAGGTGTCCATTGTAATTTCTCCTCTTTCATTTCTGATTTTATTTATTTGAGCATTCTCTCTTTTTTCTTGGTGAGTCTAGCTAAAGATTTGTTAATTTTGTTTAGCTTTTGAAAGAACAAACTCTTGGTTACATTGCATTTTTCTATTTTTTTAGTGTCTATTTCGTTCATATCTGCTTTGATTTTTATTATTTCCTTCCTTCTGCTGATTTGGGGCTTTGTTTGTTCTTCTTTTTCCAGTTCCTTTAGATGCACTGTTCGATTGTTTATTTGGGATTTTCCTTGTTTGTTGAGGTAGGCTTGAATTGCTATAGATTTCCCTCTTAGAACCACTTTGGCTGTATCCTTCAGATTTTGGCATGTCATATTTTTATTTTCATTTGTCTCCAGGTATTTTTTTATTTCTC